AGTAAGATTCACATGAGTAGCAGTCAGGAAGTGGTAGATGACTGTCTGAACAGTGCTACACATTCACGAGTCAGACTTTTATCCCCTAACTGTCACAGGGATTGACAGAAATAAGTTCCAGTATTTCATACCAACAGAATAAAATATAAAACCTTGCAGAATTTTAGTGCATACCCAACATATATTAATATATGAGGCATCCTTTCTTTTTTATGTCACATAATATTTTGCATTTTTGGGCATTTTAACACCACTGAACAATTCTGGGATAGCTATTTAAATAGAAAACACATAATCAAGGTGGTTTTACATGTCTATAATTACATTTAAATAGTTTTTAAAAGTCTGATATTTCTTTAGATTTTTCTGAGTACACACCAGCATAATTTATCCTCAGTACATCGCTCTAGTCTGACTAGAATGTAAGTCTATTGAAACCAAACATGGATGATGAAAATGAAATAGTGCTGTAAATAATCAGATGTTTAAAAATGTGGTAAAATTTAAAAGATTTAGAATTATACTTCCTGACTTCTACAAGTCTTATACAAAACCAGAATAAAAATGCAGCCATTAACGTGGTAACACTTCAGAGACTCAGGGATAGAAAAACATTTCTTTTCTAGTTTATTGTTTGTTTATATAAGACTATTTACTTAGGCGCATAACGTGAAGCCAAAACGTAAAACTAAATTCTGGCGCAGTTATTTTGTGCAACTTTCTTATAATGACAGTCAAGTACATAAACTGCACTTGATATCTAATATTCACAATTTCTGCCCAGTAAAAGACTCTGAAATACAATGCATTCTTGTCTTCTTCTGATCTGTAGAAGTTTAATCAGACAATAATGGGGCAGGTTTGGGCACAGGCAACATCTAGAGGCACCAAAGAATCTTTCTTTGCATTCCTATCACATTGAAACACGATTTTAGACACAAGCACAGTTGCAAAGGGAGAACAAATGAAATCTCTTCCCACCATGTCTCCTACAAACTCCTAAAGAAGAACCTGTCATATAATGCTAGATGGAAATCTCTGATGAATACAACAGATGTCAAAAATTGGGTCAGAAAGAAAGAAGGAAGATATGAGAAAGAATAATGAAGAAGTACCAGAATACAAAAATAACAAAAGCAGACGTATAAAGGACAAAAGCATAAGGATAAACTAGAAACAAAGAGTTCAGCACATCAAATTAATTGCCACATGATATAAAGCACACAACTGAACCAGAAATCCATCTGATAAAGAAGACACTAAATGATAAGACTAGTGAATTTAGATGTTTCTTAATACAGTATAGAAGCATAACTAACAACTGACAAATTAGCCATAATATAAGCTTTTCACATTGTTATTAAGACGGAAATAATTCCTAATTATTAATGTAGCTAATCTGGATTCAGGCAAGCATTACTGTAAAAAAGGCACTCCTAAATCCTGGTACATGCCTCCAGGTCAAGTTCCCCTCTTTGAAAGACATTTTTATATCTAGCCTCATAATCAGTATCTGAGGAACCTGGAATAAGCTCATTAAACAAACAATAATCCTCAGAGTATTTCTCTTCCATTGAACCACCAATTCTTTAAAAAACCAATGAATTTTTTTTTCTCTTGTTCATTTAGGACATCATACTCTCCTAACAGGCAACATGAAATGCCTCTCTCCTCATCCCATAAAATGTGTACAAAGGACAAATTTTCTCCTAACATTCTTCTCTAGGAAGGTCACTAGTCAAGTCAAAAATCTGCTCCAACCTGCTTGAATAGAAAACCTGAGTCTCCAGAAGCCAGTCCAATACCTGGCACGAACAAAATGTTACTTTGTCTAAATGCACTTTAGAGATACAGCCAGAATATGCTTTAACAAACAATTTATTTGCCAGGTTGGTTGGATTCAGCATATTATAAGTCTAGGAAGACTTTATGACTGATTTTTACTAGCCAGAGGAAAATACACATTCTGTTCATATGGTTTCAAAATATTTTGAGTATCCATAGAACCTTCTTGACTCACATTAAGACACGCACACTATGGATGAAGGCTTGCTGAAATCACATGCTTCCAGTACCAACACAAGCCTCTCTCTTGAACTTCTATATGAAGGCAATCTGCTGCAGGGATAGACAGTGAATATTAGGTAGCATATAACAATCTTCAACTTCAAGAGAGATGGGTCTCTCCATCAGCAGTGCAATCCTGAGGACCAGCCTACTACATACACCATGCTGACTGCTCATCAACACCTTACAGGATCAAAATTTTAAAAGTACAGGGCTCTGAAACTGGTTGAAGTTTTCATTCAAAATTCTACTGCTCAGGACAACATTTGAAAAGACATGCTTCAAATAATCTTTGCCTACCTATTTATATGTACCTTTTACAAAAGCTTTGGGAAAGGCTGAATGCACAACCATGTTTTTTGATTTCTTAATCAAACATAACAATGATATCTGGGCGCTAATTTACTCTGATTGGCCTTCTTCCAAACTCTGCTCCTCATTATCTTCAAAGCATATCTGAAATACTGGAAATTGTTCTCCAGAATACAATGAAGTAAATGCACACTTCAACTACCTCTAAAGTTCTTGTGTTTAGTAGCATCAAGTCTGCTCTTAGCACCAAAACAGCCACATAGCTCTTGCCGAAATAAGCTATTTCTGCATTCTGGTTGGTAATGAGTAATAAGTTCTTGCAGTAAGATAGGCATACTATAAGGCATCCTCTGAATCATTATTTCAGTTTTATCTGTGTATTGATGGATTCGTGTGGAAAGTAAAATGCATTAAAGAAATCAGAGGAACGAAATTAAGTTTGCAATCTGTCACTGAAAAATAGTTTTTAAACATGCTTCCAAGAAACAAATCTTCATAATTCTATATAATGAAAACCCATAAAGAGCTGCACTGCCTCCCTCTCTCATTAGCCTTGTTCATTCTACACGTTTAACATAAACCACAAATTTGACAGGGGGGCTTATATCATGCAAACTTGATGATAAATCTGAGATTAAGTATATGAATTCTTGTTAAAATGCCAAGAGAGATTTGCTAAATGTTTACTTTCGGATTAATTGTCACTGCAGTGAGGGACTATTTTGCTCATCAGAGGAGGACAGATGCTGCAGCCTCCCACCTGTACTCCCAGGGCTCCAGAAGGATGGTAACCTGGATACCTGCTCCAGGGAATACCTGCAGCTACCACAGGCTGGGAGCAGAAACCCTTCAAACAGCACTGCTCTCATCGCAATGGCTTCATGCAACAAATACATAACACAGAATGCTTACCACGGTTTCACACTGCACCTACAAAAATATATTTTTATCTTTAAAGGCAAAAACACCTCAGGAACAAGACAACCCTAAGCAGACTTTCATTGACTTTCCTGTAGCTGAACCATGGTGAGCTCCTTCATCTAAGCAGTGCAAAATACGACAAGTACAGGAAGTGTAAACCACCCCAATTTTGACATAAATCACAGTGTATAAGCACATGGATGAAGTTATATAGTGTCAGAAAGGGAAGGAGGACAGCAAAAAGCTCACCACAATGTGCATACTGAAATGCACACACATCAGAGAAAGGAAGACATTTTCATAAAGCTCACCAAAGTAGTCTGTGAAGCCACAAGCATTTTAACATTATAGTTTCACATACCAGAACTGAAATGGTAGTTTTCTCACAGGAAAACACTTATTGCAGATGAGAAAATCTCTGATTGCTCTGAAATCCATGATGAAGGTTCTTGGGGAATTCTAAAGGCCTTTTTTCAAACCTGGGAATCATTCAGAAACCCATGGACAGACTACATTTCAGAACTGCATTTTAATTTAAAAATGCTAGAAACTGCTCAATAGTAATCAATAACTGTCTTTTTCAGGAGCTATCACAGGGTAATTTTGGGGGTTTTCAGATGACAACTTGCCCCTGCTCTGAAAACTGGGTTCCTGTAATGACACCTCAAGCACAGCAACCATAATGACAACATGGAAAAACAACAGTACATGTAGCTCAGTGAACTAACAGCATAAGGATTCTCTACATCTACAGCCTACATCTCAGAAGACCCTTCCAATGCAGTATCTTGTTCCCACCACCCACACAATATCCCACACAAACTCATTCACCTAATTCTTTCCATTTATTCCTGTATCTCATCAGCATCACAACAATGTAATGTCCAGATGTGTCTTACGGTGAAAAGAGATCCTTAATGACCACCTGACAACACAAACCTTGGGCTGGTTTTGAGCTAACATGATGCTGACTGGCTGCAGCAGGCTAACAGGACTTGAACTCTTAAGCTCATGGTACAGTCTGTCTTCTAGGGATGGGAGGTAGACATTTGAGGTCCTGTACCCTACCATGCTACCAAATATTACAGAAGTCAGAGGAAATTGATATCTTCTAACTTTATTTCCATGGGTCAAATAAAATCAAAAAGTTAAATCATTAAAACTAACCAACAAGTAAAAGATACCAGGAAAAGTAATGACAGAGATGCAGAATGGAGTATGTTAGAAGTTTTTATTCCTCATTTTCCCAGGGAAGGAAGAGGACACTGATCAAAACTTGTAACTTACTGTAAATGGCTCATGTTATTTTTCTAAGAAAATGCAACAGACCTAATATGATAATAAATTTTTATAATACTTACATGCAAACAGCAAACTACCTAGAAATTTAAACATTCTAAAGACCAAGGTACAAACACATGTTGGGGCAGTAACGCATGTAAAACTGTCTGCTACTGGGGAAACTACTTGGTCAGATTTGCGATTCAAGTGCAGGACCCAGCACATCACCATATTGCACCTCATACCATCGGCCTTGGCCCATCAATCCAGCCTGTCCAGATCCCTGTGCAGGGTCT